TTCCATTTATTTTTGATCCATCTGTATAGATAACATGAGCATCTTTCCATTTGTCCCTAATTGTTTCTTGTAAAATTGCCTTTACCACTCCCGGATCCACATCCGTTAAATGGGTATTGTAGTCAATTTTGAATCCATCTAGTTTCGATTTCAGAAACCCAGTAACAGATTTTTTTTTATGGTGCCGATAGAGTTGTTGGGGACTTTGTTGTTTAGAAGGCTGATTATTTTTCAAATAACGACCGTTCCCGTCTTCCTGTTTTTATTATAAATTTATTGGCAAGAACATGTCTTAGGACTCGTTCCATGTTTTTTTTCTTTGACAGGGCATCCGAGAGCTTGGTCATTTCAGCCCCGAAGCACTAGCGAAATACCGCTACACACTCGATGCACAATCACACCAATAAATACATTCATACCTATATATATATTGATCGCAGTCATACTGTTTGATAGATGGAGTACTCGATATTCCTCCATCTACCTGTTCCCTATAATAGACTACTCTAATTTGGGGTCGATGGGGTATTTTATGAAATTTCCTCCATCGGCCCAAGTCATACACATAACCTGAGAAGCGATGGAGAAGATACATGACCATCAGCCCCTCTCCATTCACACCAATAAATACATTCACTCATACAAGACACAGAAACACACTCGTTACATGTTGTAGGAATAGTACCTGATTGACCTTAACCAACCGACACAACGTGAAATCGGAATACATTCATTGTTCTAGACAAGTCCTTACTGCATATTTTATTTTATTTTTATGCTTTTTGTAAGAAATATCCAGTTTATTTTATTTACTGTTAAGATCACAAGTGTGCCTTTTATGTATACATCGTACATGCTTACTCATGACTTAAAACACCGATAAAACTTGAAATCTAAATTATTCATAGTTGTATACACGTTCGTATTGCCTTTTTTGTTTTTATGGTTTTTGGACCCTGTATAAGTTTTGATGAACTAGTCTTAAATCGCAGGTACGCTTAAGTTTGACGTTGATAGATGCTTATCAATTGACCTAAACCATCTTATAATTCGTAATCAAAATAGTTCATTGTCACAGACAAGTTCTTATTAAATATTTCGTTTGTTTTTATAGTTTTTCTGTGAGAAATCAGTTTAGTTTGTACTAAAGTACGGGCATTCTTCATATGGTCTGCGAAATGTTAAGTTAGGTCATTTCCGATCATTTTTGTTCTGCCTTGTACGAAAACAGTAATTCGTATCGAACTCGTAATTGACTCGATGCATTTGATCTTTTCCAAAAAGAAATTTCAATGCTTTGACCGTTGCAACAAATTTTGCCGCGTCACCTAGACAACAAAGACTAGCTTTCTCATGAACGTTTGCACATTTATATCTAACAAAAATAATTTACCGAAGAAAGTAAACTTATAAAGCATTTCGGTGTATACAAACTAAGTTTCTAACAAGTTGTCCGTTCGTAGCAGTTCTCAGCCTGCTAGAAAAAAATAACCATTTCTACCTAGCAAACCTATGTGAACATTACTTTAATTTTTATCTACAGACCAGATTACACTTAATTAGGACTGGCCAAACATAAAATAATATTTTCAAGGTAGATTCTTAATTTTTAAAGAATTTCTTTTTGCCCAGTTAAATTTTCGATTTCATTTTAAATATAACGAGGTGTTTAACGTTTTGTAACAGACTTTGGATTCAAACTTTAAAATTTAAAAATTGACGAGTTTTTTACCAAATCTTCTCATTTAAAGCTCTGGGTATTTCAGCTTTTTCAAAATTCTGAACAGCTGACAGAATTTCAATGCAATAAAGAGAATGGAAAATTTTGTCATTTTTGGTGGAAAAAGTTGGATTTTGAAAATTTCAGCTCACATTTCAAATAATAGATCGTAGACAAAAATTAAAACAAAATTAATTAACTTAGACCTCTAGACATTTTAAGATTGCCACTGATTTCTTTAAAATTTCGAAAAGAAAAAACACATCCTAAATGTACAAATTTTACAACTATCATAATTAACTGCACAGACAGTCAAATAGTTTTATTTTTTTCTAGCTACAGGCATGTTTCAATTCAAACTTTTAAGTTCACGTTCGCACGATTTAAGGGTATTGAATGTATGGGATGTTTAATTCAGTTAACACCGATGACCCCTATTCTATTCATATGTTTTTCCCACACTAAAGAAAACGTTACGCTAGTCATTAACATCTTCGAAACTACGTGGACAAAACAAATCGTGAACATTTTATCAAGTTGATAAAACTCCAGTGATAGATAGAAACTTTTTTTAAAAATAAATACAAAAGTAAAAATAGAAGAGTAAAAAAAATCTTCTTGGCCATGCAGCTTGTCGGCAAATGCAAAATGGTCATATATCTTTAAAAAAAGTGTAGATAATAAAAACTAAATATTAAAAAAACATGAAAATGATGAGTGTAATTTCCCAAAACATCCAAATAAGTTATGAATTTACTTTTAAAAACCCACGTCGATTTTTTTAAAAACAAAAGTCAATAAAAAGTGTCAAAAATGACAATAGTTCAAATCCTTTTGGGCAAACAAAAGACACTGAATACAAAAAAAAATATAGTGACCAAAAATTTAAATTAAAGTGCAAAATAAATAAATCAATAAATCAACTAAACTGATATCCAAACAGAAAATAAAAACAGAAAATAAAACTAAACTGAAATCCAAAACATCCAAACAGAAAATAAAATTAAATCAACTAAACTGATGTCCAAACAGAAAATAAAATTAAATCAACTAAACTGATATCCAAACAGAAAATAAAATTAAATCAACTAAACTGATGTCCAAACAGAAAATAAAATTAAATCAACTAAACTGATATCCAAACAGAAAATAAAATTAAATCAACTAAACTGATATCCAAACAGAAAATAAAATTTAGTTTCTTCTGATACAAAATTAAAAAAAAAGGAATTATAAAATATACTATTACAATAGATTACAGAAAATTTTATTTAAAAAAAGCAATTCTATTCCATATGTCCCATATTGGTTGTAGTAGCAGTGAATTATTATAAAATATACTAATACAATAGACTACAGAAAATTTTATTTAAAAAAAGCAATTCTAGTCCATATGTCCCATATTGGTTGTAGTAGCAGTTTGTTTTGTGAAATTTGTTTTTCGTCGAAAGCTTAGATTGTCATTCTATAAGTTTGTAGTGTCTGATTAGGTCTTGTTTAGGTTGTTTCAGTCATATGTACTGATTCCACACTAAGCATAAGTCTAGTCTGAACCCAAGGTAGCGTACGCAGTCTGATTTGGGGATAGGAATACGTAATGTAATTTTCCATTGTCTACACTAATCTGACATACATGTGATATGCCCCTTCTGAAGCAACTGCAGGATCGGGGTTAGGCTATAGTACAGCTGTGTTTTTGGCAAAAGGTTTAGGGGGAACATCTACAGGATTGTCAGAGCACATGGCCCTGTGGTATCCCCACAATCAGAATGCAGTATTCTGAGCCTTGTCAGACTCAAAAGAAACTCTGTTAGATAAGAGCGGAGGATTAAGTAGAGGATATTTGGAAGGACACGCATTAATTTGTACAGGAAACCCTTGTGTCACACCAAGAAAGGCCCGTACAGTATTCTTTTTACACTCAAGATTGGAGGATATTGGTCTATTGCATGAAATATTTGTTAGACGGTGGAATGATGGGGGCGAAAGGCAAACTGATGATTTGGGTGAAGGAGGAGTTTAATTTTTTAATTAATTTAATTTACTACGATAAATTAAGGAGAAATTTATCAAATACTTTGGACATGATGGGAAGTAAGCTTATTAGGTGATATGCTGAGGCTTTTCGAACTGGCTTGCCAAAATTTCTTCTTAATTACTTAAGAGGCCACTAAACATTAGGTTAACGAGATGACTGAAGTTCCAGAACCCTTAATAAACATCTACAATAGAGAAAGAAAGTAAAAACATGGATCAAAAGGCATTTGGCTTCAACATAAAACATGTAATTAAGGGTTTTTAAAAAACACTTTCTAAACTCTTTCAATGGCGTCAGAATAACGATATACTCAAACCTGGCAGCCATAGGTAAGACGGAGAGAGAAATGGCTTTGAAAACATTGAACTTAGCCTTTAGGGTTATGCCCTCATTAGCTATGAATTTAAACCAAATGGAATTTAAGCCTAGAAGAGCCTGTTGTGATGTTTTTGTCCAGTAATGGCTGTATGAAAGAGTTGGAGAAATATCCACTGTTAGATATTTATATTATGTCTATACAATTTCAACATCCAAACTTTGTTCCTGCTGTAGCGGTCACCATCCTTATGGGAAATCATTATTTTTGATTTGTCCAGATTGATACTAAGTTCCCAACTGTCAATATAATTTTAATTATAAACTGATCTATCATTTTTTTATAAATATTTTGGGTTTCATCCAATATAATCACATCATCTTCAAATAGTAATAATTTCAAATCATTATACTTTCTACTAAACTGTCTTTTAAGTTATTAATAAAAATATTAAATAGTGAAGGGCTGAGGTTACAACCTTGTTGGTGTCCACAACAAAAGTTCACTAATATTTATATTGTCAACTCCATTGTTGATTTTTAAAATTTAATATCAGCATATATATTTATTCATAGGTTAATTGATTTTATCAGTATAATGACGGAGAAGAAATGTGTTTTAATTTAAAAATTGCTACCTTATTTATAATAATTTGAATAATCATATATATTTATTTTGGGAATAGGTATTTTTCAAAAATTAATCTGCAGACTAACTTCCAAATAGTTTCAATTTCATTAACACTAAATGATTTATAATTTGTTTAAACTATAAAAGCATAAAGAAAGAAAATCATCTACTCTTACTACTAACTTGACTTACTATCTGGTTATTATCATTTTAATTGACAACAGTTTGAACATTATAACAATATTTTGGCAATTTCTTTATGGTCCTCATATATATACATTTTTTTTACATTTCAGATGAAAAAAGATTCAGTTGGTATATATGGCAGAGCAAATATATTCTTGTGGTTTGGCCTTTTTAAATCCATCGGATTTGCTTTGAGGGAGATTCCTCCTGGATGCATGGATTTATCCAAGATAACAAAGATACCTCCAACTATCGAGTACTACGAACAGTCTGTTAGTCCTTTTCAATTGGATTTATTAATTTATTCAATAATGTTATAAACAATATGTGTTGAATGTGATTGCTTTTGTTCTGGTTCAAGAGAATTCCATCTAATGCATAAATTTATGTTATGTGATGTTAAATTGATATTTTGGTACAATTTTTTTTTTATTACATTTTTTTTGGTATTTACAACTACAAGTGATGTATTAAGTAAATATGTTTGTATATGTTGAATTATCATTTGAGGTTCTTGTAGGAGAAGTTGCCCAGTGGTAACACTCCTTCACACTGATATCTTGTTCAGTCTTCACACAATGAGAAGGTCTCGGGGCCACTTTCGCTTCAATCGTCTTGGAGGATTTTCAGGTAGGGTTGGAAGTGGTAAATTTCGTACGAATAGATTACTGTATGTGTTCAGTGATTGATGAAATTTTTTATATCGGGTTTTGATGAGTTCATGTACAAACGGGATCTGTAGGTCTTTATGGATAGTGTAATTTGAAACGTAAAAAGGAGCATTTATAATTTGACGGAGAATTTTAGATTGGATTGATTGGAGACGCTGGGAATTGGAATCCTTGGTTGAGCCCCACACTTCACAACCATACACCCAGAGAGGTCTAATCATTGTCTTGTAAATTAAAAGTTTATTTTCAAGGTCTAATTTTGATCGTGAGTCGAGTAGTCTTTTTAACAATTTATAACGTCGGTTTGTTTGCTGTCTTTTCAGTCTTGTGTGGGGATTCCAAGTTAGTCGTTAATCCATGAAAAGTCCAAGATAATGCACAAAGTCAGTTGTAGGCAATGGAATTCTATTTACACTCACCGCAGGAAAGATATATTTACGTAAGGTAAAATTGATATGTGTGCTTTTTGTTAGGTTTACCTTTACTCTCCACTTTGTGAACCATACTGTTAATTCATTCAGGTGTTGTTGTAAGTGTTGAGTGTTAATTGAGGGGTCTGAATTGCATGTAAGAATCGCTGTATCATCAGCGAATGTGTGAGTCGAAATGTTAACATGTGTAGGAATATCTGCAGTGTATATGGAAAATAGAAAAGGGCCAAGTATGCTTCCCTGAGGAACACCCACCCTTATAAAGTGAGAATTCAGTTCCCTGACGGACTCGACAAAATCGATCTGTCAGATAAGATCTCAGTATAAGATGGAAGGATGTTCCTCAGTTTCCAAAGCAAGCCCGAGTGCCAGACTCGATCGAAGTTAGTACAAATGAAGCACAATTTTAGATTATTTGATTCAATTTTAATAAAATGTTATGTAATCTTATTAACTAAAATTAGTCAGACCTATTTGCCATAAAATTAATAATTAAAATCAAATTCAAGCTTTTAAAAATTACCCAGCTCAATTAGAAAAAATCTAATGTTAAAAAGCAATTACAACTTTAGAAGCAGTTTCACTGCAATGTATATTTTTATAAGAAGAATTATTTCTGTATATTAAATTTTAGATTGCTAGTAAAAAGTATACATTTCATTTTTAAAAATGTTGGCTTGTAGAAATTTCTTTTTCGGGCTCATATTTATCATGGACGGTTTGAACCGTGCGATGACATAGAAGGAAACTGTAAAATATCTATCAGTGTGCACATTGGCGCCAAAAGCACAAGTTCATCAGTGAGTATTTTTCTAATCTTTTGCTAAGAAATATTAAAATAAATTATAATTAATAAATAATAAATTATAATCCTTTTTTAATGGCATTAAGCTTTAACATATTAGCATGATTCCATGTAGCATGTATATAGCATATGAGTTGGAATCAAATTTTAGGGGTGTCTAAAAGCTGGCAGTCTTTCATGATCATTAGCTACCTCAGTCCCCAAATCAAATTATCTATTGCTTCACAGAGTTTATTTAAATTTTTTCCCTCCATATGAAATTACAGATTATAGAAAAAACCATCTGCCCAGTTTGGAAAGAAACTCTGATTCTGGACAATGTATATTTTTCTGGTGAGCCAGCATACTACAAAAACCAACCGATACCTGTTGTAGTTCAAATTTGGAATCACAGATCGAGTAAAAATTATTATTATTATTATTATTATTTAAAGAAGGATTGTTCAAATTGTTATGCACATCACTTTTCCAGATAATCTAAAGACTCTCATGGGCAGAATCTTTTGCAAACCTGAAGTATATTTAGCACACGAGCTATTAGGAAATTCACATCCTCCAGCATTGAAATGGTATAAAGTTGCACTTGGAAATAACACAAAAGGGGAAATTTTAGCAATATTCGAATTAATTGAGGTACGTAATAACATTTCAATTAAAACTTGTAAAAAGGGTAATTGCATAATTTTAAATGCATACACAGAAAAAGGATCAGCAATCTGTTGTGGATTCAAAATTGGTGAAAAATATTCCAAACTATATTCAGCCAAAGACCGTGAAATACAGGCAAAATATAAAATGTTTAACATAATTTGATTGTCATGTTATTTAATAATGTGGTTTTATAGATTGGAAGTGTTATTTTGGGGGATTCGAAATGCTAGTCATAAAAACTTACCCAAAGTTGACCACCCAAAAGTAATCGTGAATTGTGGTGAAGCCGTACTCGAATCTCAAGCTTTGAAGAATTCGTTAAATTTCCCCAATTTTTCAAAGTTCCCTGCGTTTTCAACTGTGGTACTGTAACAAAACAAAGAATATTTTTTAGTATTTAGTAGTAAATATTAATAATTTAGGAAATACCACAAAACGTCATCTTTGCACCGCCCCTGGTCATTAGACTTTTTAACAGTAAAAGCCACGGCAAATTTCAATATATTGGAAGTCACACAATCAAAAATGTTCAAGAGGTGAAAGTTCGTCTAGTAAGAACTGATGATTGGATGCAAATTGGAAGCCAGATATCTGAGAAACAACCAAAGAAAGTTTCTTGTAAGTAAAAAAAAAAAGTAGTTCAGGCATAAAGTTACAAGTGACCAATATTTCTTGTAAAGAAAGGTCAATTAATGTTTTAATAATTTATTAAACTTATGATGTTAATAAATTTTATTATATTCCAGTTAGTTTTTCACCTAATTACCATAGAAAAGAATACTGTACTGACAATGAATGCGATACGTCAGAAATGACACCTCTTATTCAAAATTTAAGCTTAAAGCAACAAGATGTTTCAGTAAGCTGTAAGCAGGTTTTTAAATTAAATAATGTATCAGGAAAGAATGGTTTTAGGAGACAATTGAACCGTTGTTTGCTCAAAAAGTGAAACAGAAGTTGAGTGAATTTGCATCTAGATTTGGCTACAGGCAACAATCGGTTGAATACCAACCTTTGAAAATGGATGCAAAGCTAATTAAACATCCCGATCTAAATGAAAAATATTTTGACTGGTGGACCAAATATTTTGACTGTACAGATGATATTTCAAATAAAAAGGTAATAAATGTTAATATTTTTGCATATTTTGTAAAATTAGTTTCACAATATTTAAAAAAAAAGAAGAAAAATAGAATTCTTGGAGTAAGTGACTAGTTATGAAAAACTGTAACAGATTGCAGGAGTAGCTCATTTTGATGTCAATACAAAAACGAATATTTAATGAACTATCAGATTTAATTAAGTTTATTTCAACAATTAAATTAAATTATATAAGCTATTGACACCTACATGTAGAATTCAACCCACGAATCTCTTGGCAACTCGTGAGAATCACCCACTCTGATGTTTGGTGGTTCGAGGTTAGACCTTGGTCATGTACATTCATGCCTAAAGTTAGGTTCTAGGGCTATGACAACAAAAGACCACTTGAGATCTCTGTGCATGTAGTTTTACCCTAACTCACTTGCATACATTCTTCTTTTTAGTGAAAATGGGATCTACAAATCAATAATGACCTAGTACAAGTTTTACTGCATTTTATTGGGTTCATCCTAAATAAAAGTATACAAAGTTAATGAAAAACCCAATATTGTAGAAAATTAGCAAAAATATTTCAATTTTCAATGGAAAATTAAAAAGAAAAAGTGGTACATAAACAAAAAACAAAAAAAAATCATTTATTGTGAAATATGGATAAATCACAAATATTTTGAATTATTTTATTAAATAATTAGTTATCTTAATTGTTTAGTAAACCAAGAAGTCCAAATGGATTGATGTGATAAAAACAATTAAAATGATCTATCTTGTTTTCATTTAGAGTAGAGGAAACATCACCGGAGAAAAGATAAGACATGAAGGCCAACAAACCGAGTTGAAAAAGCGTAAAAAGAAAATTTCCAAACTTGAGGTGTAAATTTTACATTTACACTGGGCTTGGATTCATTATCAATATTTTGCAGGTTTACCCATGCGAACTTGAAAAATTACCTATATTCGATGGTTTTAATGATGTCCTAAGGACTTTCGACATAAGTAAACGCGAACGAAGAATATTTTCAGCAGAGCCGAAACACATCGTTGGGAAATTTAAGGTTGATTTATTGATTTTATTCAGTTCATAAGGAAAAATAAGTGAGATTATTGTTATTATTATTTTAGTAAAAGTTCTATTCTACATTTAGCACTATGATAGATTGATAGATGTATAAACATTTATTTTATATTTTGGGTTCTTCAGTTTAGATATATTGTTTTCACCCACTTAAATTGATAGTTACTATTTTGGGAGATGCATCATTGATAAGCAGATCAGGATGGTCAGAAATGATGATACATAACTTATATATATTCATAATCATGGTCAAAATTATGATCATTTGGTCATAGCTGTGATGAAGTGTCCCCATAAAAAACTTCCATCTTCTTGGCATTAAGAAAGAGTTTATAGATGAGACAGTAATGTATTGTCACAAGTACCTTTGCCCTGTGAATATAGAGATGTGTTTTGGCAAATATTCTATTGGGTTGTCCGGAAAATAATGCAGGATTTTGGTATTAAACAAAAAAAAAGAAACTAGTTACTTTAAAGCAATGTTCTTTAATCAAAATAATTTTCTCCCAACGTGTTGGTAACTTATTAATTCCGTCTGAGTAGAATTCAGAATTTTTAGAATTGATAAAGTCAATAAATGCATTTTCCAGTTCCGTTTGATTTTTGAATATTATGTGTTGTAAGTAGTGGTCCAGGTGTCTAAAAAAATGGTAGTCAGTAGGCGAGAGGTCCGGAGAGTAGGGTGGGTGAGGCAAAGTTTCATAGCCAAGCTCCAATAATTTTTGTGACGTTACACGTGACACATGTGGTCGAGCGTTGTCATGCAACAAAATGGGCCCTTTCCGATTGACCAAAGAGGGCTTCATTACTGCCAATTTCTGATGCATGGTATTAATTTGGTTACAGTATGATTCAGCATTGATGGTTTCGCCAGGATTTAAGAAGCTGTAGTGTATTAAACCAAATGAAGCCCACCATACCGTAACCATTACCTTTTTTTGATGAGTTGGGGGCTTTGGAGCTTCTCCTTTGTCGAGCCACTGTCCAGAACGTCTAGTGTTATCGTAGAGAATCCACTTTTCGTCACATGTAACAATTCTGGCCAAAAATGGGTCATTTTTGTTTCGACAAAGAAGTGATGCACAAACATCAAAGCGCTGATTTTTTGGCGATCGTTTAATGAGTGTGGAACCCAATTTTCGAGTTTTTTCACTTTTCCAATCGCCTTGAGGTGGTCAGCGACGGTCGTTTTACTGACTTTGAGTTGCTCTGCAAGTTCTCGAACAGTTGTTTTGGGGTTTTCTTCCACCACTGATCGCAGAACATCATCATTAAGAGAGGAAGGCCTTCCACGACCTTCTTCATCTTCAAGGCTGAAATCTCCCTCCCGAAATTTTTTAAACCACCTTTGCACAGTGCACTCATTAACACAACCCTCGCCCCAGACTTGGTTAATGTTTCTAGCCGTTTGGTCTCCGCTTCGGCCGAGTTTAAACTCGTAAAAGAAAATCGTACGAAATTCTCGCTTTGACATTATAAGGATGACTGAATTATTTCCAAGTAGCGGAATGCTACAGAGGTAAACAAACAATATCATTTGGAAGAGGATTAATAAGTGTTGACATTCATACAAATGAGTAATCCTGTAAACGTAAACAGAATATTTTATATAGATTTTTTTTAATGAAAACTTAAAATCCTGCATTATTTTCCGGACAACCCAATAATAATATAATATTCTCTTTGCCACCCTTAGATGAAGAAATAGCATTTCCTAGTCTTACCGAAAATCTACTGAAATATATTTAAAATAAGCTAGACTTCAGTGCATAATTTACTTTCAGAATGGTAACACAATAAAGACATTTTAAGAAGAATGGTAATGCATGTTAGTAAGTGGGCTCTAAATAAAATAAACCAGAACAATAGTATAGATATCCTAATTAATAACAACTAACATCTAATTGCTCCTGGAAACAATCTTCACAACTTTCTATAAAGTCTCAACGGACTATAAAGGAGAGGAAGAACACAGGAGATCATCAGATACAATGATATGGTATGCAGATGGCTCCAAAACAAACGAAGGAACTCGATCGGGTATTTATTGTACAAGCCCAAAACAAGAGCAATCAAACTCATTAGGGAAGTACACTTCGGTCTTACAAGCAGAAATACCACTGCCATCAATGCTTGTGCCCTGAAAAATCTTAAAAGAGGTTACACTGACAAAAAAATCCTCATAAGGTCTCATAGCCAAGCAGCCATTAAAGTATTAGCATGTAAAATAATCACATCAAAATTAATCAGTGAATGCATCCAAAATCTCCAAAACCTGGGGAAACAACAACCTAATGATATCTCGGGTGCCAGGGCACAGAGGAATTTTGGGTAACGAGAAAGCAGACAGACTACATAGGTCCTGAACCTATACTTGAGATAACAAAAACAAATATAGAATCCTCCATCGCCATCGCAGAATGGATCCAAACAAAACAAAAGGAGAAGTGGTTAAACTTTAGCGGTGCTAGGCATGGTAAACTTATGATGAAACAACCCCCACAAAGACTGGCAAAATCATTGCTGCAACTGGAGAGGACTAAACTCAGAAGAGTGATAGGACTACTAACCTGTCATTGGCATTTGAGAAAACATCTACACAACATGGGCCTGTAGAACTCTGTTCCCATTTGCAGATTATGTAATGAGGAGTAGGAAACAGCCGTCCATACCATCTTCGAAAGCTAAGCAACAGCTCATTAATGATTTAACCTAACATACGAACAAACTAAAATTGTTGCTGGGACAATCAATGATCTGACCTAAGGAGAAGCATTGAGTCTATTGCACTGAACTAAGGAACTAGGTAGGTACAATAAGACAGAAGGTGAATGCATCCCAAATCTCCAAACCTGGGGAAACACAACAACCTAATGATATCTCGGGTGCAAGGGCACAGGGGAATTTTGGGTAACGAGAAAGCAGACAGTCTGGTCAGAGGAGGATCTGCAAGACCATACATAGGCCCCGAACCTATTCTTGGGATAACAAAAACAAATATAAAATCCTCCATCGCAGAATGGATCCAAACAAAACAAAAGGAGAAGTGGATAAACTCTAGCGGTGCTAGACAGTAAACTTATGATGAACCAACCCTCACCAAAACTGGCAAAAGCACTGCTGCAATTGGAGAGGGTCAAACTCAGAGGGGTGGTAGGATTACTAACAGGTCACTGGCATCTGAGAAAACATCTACACAACATGGGCATATACAACGATGATCCCATTTGCAGATTATGTAATGAGGAGGAGGAAACAGCCACTTATATCATCTTAGAATGCAAAACAACAGCTCAATGGAGATTTAACCTAACTGCAGAAAAAACTTAGGGAATCAAATTGCAGCAGTGACATTCAATGACCTGGCACTTCTAAGGAGAAGGATTGAGTCTATTGCACTGAACTAAGGAACTAGGAAGGTACAATAAGCCAGAAGGCTGCAGTGCCTTGGGAGTACAAACCCCGCTTCCTAGTATCTTTTTCACCATACCATACTATACCATACCAACATCAATATTCTCCCAAAGTTAATGACATTTAAAACTGTTAAGCTCTGTTCTGCCATGACAAAATAAGCAGCTATAAAAGAAGACTTGTGGGCTGGGTACCCCAACCACTACCAAGTTTATATAACAAGTTTTGGATTAATTGATGTAAAACTGATAGTGAGCGAAGGTTTTTATGGTAGTGTCTAGCTCCATCAGATGTCGGTACTACTCTGACAATTTGGTTTATGTATCATGTCACTAGAGTGAAACAAAAAGAAAAAAACCGAAATAATCAAAAGTGAAAGGTGTATTGGCATAGTCTGATGGTTTCCCAGCAGACAGATGTTTGGAGATGTTTATGCTACTTGTTATGAATGACTTAAAACTAGATAAATACCTAAGATAATAAAAAATAATAATCCAATTTTCAGTACTATCGTCTAAAGTATGTCTAATATATTATGTAAATAATGAATGTGGCATACCAGTATAAGAAACTTGAGTGATTTGTACATCTGTGACAGTATATATATTTGTTGCAGGGAGCAATAGCTGTATACGAACATTTTGATGATGATTATGTCACAAAGACAGGAATGGATCCAAAATGGGGTTACTTCGGATCTTTGTCGGATGAGATTGTCGATTTAACCGTACGGGTTTATGTCGTGAGGGCCTATCAGCTTCACAACCCAAGGAGGATGGGTAATTTGGAGACGTACATTGAAATCGAAACTCCGTCTTTAACTATTACAGACAAAGACAAACTAATATCACAAGATTACGAACCTGTTTTCGGCAAGTAAGTCTTTCTTAACGACTTAAAGGAGATTAAATACTCCTTGGTTTTAAAACTTCAGGCATTTCGAGTTCTCAGTGAGCCTTCATCACGATTACTTTATAATGATTCGTGTAATGAACGGCCGTCAATTAATCGGAGAAACAAAGATAGATATAGAAAACAGATATTATTCCATGCATAGAGGGACATGCGGATTACAAGAATTATACCATACGTGAGAATGCGTCTTTTTCTATAATGTCAATCTTTCATAAATTTGTCTTATTTAAAATCTTTGAGTTCAGAAATGGTTATAACGCATGGAGAGATATTTATCGGCCGACAGAAATTCTAGAATGGCTATGCCTCACTTATAATTTGCAAAGCCCTAAGTATGAAGTCGATTCGGTTAAAGTGGCCAAACGAACTTTCTTCACGTCTCAGAAGAAAGGAGGTAGGTGTTTTTAAGCTAAATAAACACAATTACAATTTATTTATTTATTAGACAAGAGAGAGTGCTTGGCATTATCCGTTTTAAGAAACTGGCATACCATACCTATAGTCGGATGTCATCTGCTCAAAGAACATGTAGAAACAAGGTCACTGTTCAACAATTCAGAACCAGGTATCGAACAGGTAAACAAAAATTCACTTTTATTAATTTTTATATGTAAGATTACATTTTTTATAGGGAAAATTAGAAATGTGGGTTGACATGTTTCCCAAATATGTTGGAAATTTTATTCCTCCTCCGGTTGACATCAGTCCTAGAGCGCCTGATGAATTCGAACTTAGGGTTATCTTATGGTCAACGTCTAGAACGTATTCTTTATTGGCTAATGATTTCTACCATCAATATTGCGACCTATTCGTCAAAGCGTACGACCTAATTAACTTAATTAAACTGAAATTTTTAATTTGATTTCCGTCTCACAGTTGGATAGAAGGCAAAGAAGACATGCAGCAAACCGACGTGCATTTCCGTTCGTGGATTGGCGACGGACTTTTCAACTGGAGGTTCATTTACCAGTTTGCGTACCACCGAGAAGGGTTCATAACTAATTTGAAAAAGCAAGGGAAATTGGAAACGAAAGCGAAAATTCCTCCAGTCCTTTACCTTCAGCTTTGGGACAACTCAAGAATTTGTCCGAACGAATATCTAGGTAATATTTGAGCACTAGAGGGTAAAATGGGGATAATGTTTTTAAAAATTTCCAGGAAATCAATTTTAGTGCAGACAATACCGGCAATGAAATACCGGCAGGTCTCGAGAATCACCAACCTCGGCTGTTGGCAGAGTTATCCGTCCAGCCGCCGGGGTTGGGCTCCAGGGGCTAAAAACAGCTTGATCATTTCAGCCCCAACGCAGTCTCCAAATCCAAATCCATTCACATTCTCACTTACATTAAAATACTTCCTTTCCTATGTACTAACTGACTCATAGTCAGTTAGGCTGGTCGAGTACTCATATTCCTCCATCACCCCTACACATATAATATACTAATCTAAATGAGTTTAGATGGGGGACTCAATATTCCATCAGTAGCTCTCTCACATTCACATTCATGCTAATAAATTCATTCATAAGTTCAATCAATCAAAAAGAAAAAATGAAGAAATAAACCAAACACTACAAAACGGACTGAATAGAAAAAAAAGAAAATACTCTACACACTAATATGCGAATGCGGAGAAAAATACATCGGCAGACAGGACGGAAAATATAATTACGGGACACAATAGAAAACAACCACGAACCATCGACAATAAAAACAAATATGAAACTACTACAAAACGTGCAAAAAAGAGCGAAGGTCAAAAAGCCGGCCTCGAAAAAAACTTCAAAACATTACGCAAATTAAAAAGAAAAAAGAGCGAAGATCAAAACGACTGACTCGAAAAGAACTGACACCAACTCACAAACATCATTTACACCATTTAAAACATTAAGGAATTAAAAAGAAAAAAAAGGGAAGATCAAAAAGACCGCCTCGAAAAAAAATGAACTTACGAACAATAACTCACAAACACCACTTATACCATTCAAAACATTACGCAAATTAAAAAGAAAAAGAGCGAAGATCAAAAAGACTGACTCGAAAAAACCCCCCAAAAAACTGATAACTCATAAACATCACTTACTCCGTTTAAAACATTATGCAATTTAAAAAGAAAAAAAAGCGAAGATCAAAAAGACTGATTCGAAAAAAAACCCCAAAAAACTGATAACTCATAAACATCACTTACTCCGTTTAAAACATTATGCAATTTAAAAAGAAAAAAAAAGACTAATCTAAATGAGTTTAGATGGGGTACTCAATATTCCAGCTCTCTCACATTACACAGTCATGCTAATAAATAAGTTCAATCAATAAAAAAGAAAAAAACGAAAAAAAATCGAAAAAACTGACAACTCATAAACATCACTTACACCATTGAAACATTACACAATTTAAAAAGAAAAAAAAAAGAGGATCAAAATACCGCCTCGAAAAAAAATTACGAACAATAACTCACAAACATCACTTATACCATTTAAAACGTTACACAATTTAAAATGAAAAAAAAGCGAAGATCAAAAAGACCGACTCGAAAAAAACTGACAACAATAACTCATAAATATCACTTATACCATTTAAAACATTACGCAAATTAAAAAAAAGTAGCGAAAATCAAAGCGACCGACCAGAACAGCCAAAAAGATCCCTACTTCAATTCAATATTATCATAATTCATCAAAGACACTCACACCCATACAGCCCCCCCCATAATTAAACTTAATCACTCTTCGTCCTAGATGTACGGTCAAAAATCATTCTATGAATCAGATATTCTCAACCGCGCAGTATTTTTCAAAAATTGCTGTTTAGTAGAAACAATTTTAAGTCAAAATTTTAGTACTAAATAAAGCGATTTTGTTATACAGGAGGATTTAACGTTCAATTACCCGTTTGGTGAGGCGGACGAGGGGGGTCAAACCAATTTACAATACTTTCGTCATACTATTTACGATTAAAAATACATGGGGTATGTCGGGATTCGAACCCCAAACTGCTAGCGTGGTAAGTACGAGTCGGACGCCGAACCACTCGTCCACCCACTGGTCAACCTTCATAACTAATAAACTTTCGCCTTTTATTAAAGAAATTGTAGCCTATATGCCTACTTTCTCAGTTGCTGCTTTGGTACTTAATCGCATTGCTTCACAAACCATTATATGCACTAACCAAAGTTTAAGTTAGTGCTGGCAAACGAAAGTTTAAGATTCTACGTTGAAAATAATGCAAGATTTTAAATAAATAAGTAACAAACAGGGCCGTTCGACCTATTCACCTTTTGAGGCAAAATGTGACATTATTTTCTAATCAACTTGATCAAAAAGCGTTTTACTTTGTATAAAATAATTAATGAGCTAATTCTTCACTCAAGGCTCCCTTTCCTTGGATCTTCATCGAATTCCTGAACCGTCAATAAAGCTGTTCGGAGGTTCAATTTCTAATCCAATCAAAAATAAACGAACGATCGACTTGTTTCAAAAACGACACATCAGAGGATGGTGGGAATTCACAACGCCCATTAAAAGCGGATCGAGCAAGAGCGAAATCGTTATTGTAAGAATGTTTTAAAATCAGTAAACAAAGAACAATATGTAAGTATGAAAAAAATTTCACAGGCGCGGGCGGACCTCGAGATGGTCCTCTTAAGACTGGAAGACGCAGAGAAAAATCCTGCTGGATATGGAAGAAGTGGACCTTTAGCTCTTCCTAAACCAATGTAAAACATTAGAAACCTCTATTATGCAGTAGTCCGCAGTACAGTAGATATTTTATATTTGCAACTATATACATAATATATAAAAAGGGCATTGGCGACAAGAGGTACGTGTAGTGTGGATGCTGAATAGTCATATTCCATCGGTAATAACCTTTTGAGTTCGTCTATGTTCTTGTTTTTTGTGAACCCATTCTGAGATGGAGGATTCCGTGTTTGTCCTTGTTATCGCCAGTATAGGTTGTATATATTAAGTCTTGCAGATCGTCTTCCAGTTTGTCGGCTTTTTCATGACCAGAATAACTTTGTTCGTTGACAACCAAGATATTGTCTGCCAAAACGAGCTACAAATGTGCTTTAGTGCTGCACGAATATATCTCTGATAATCTAACTGTATTGGCTAATAATGATAGAAACCTAATCCATTATCTAAACATTTTAGAAATGTAGAAGGTTAATATGTTAATTAACAAAGAAAAGACGAAAGTAATGGGGATAGGTAAAGTGCCGCATTGGGCTGTGAGACTTGATAAGAGGGAAAAAAGTAGGGCAGATATCCCGCTTTGGGTACTCAGGAGCGTACCTGAGCGTAGACGGATTCGAAGATGTAGGGCCGAAGGATAAGTGCCGTTAATAGGTATTTCGGTGCGGTCAGGAAGGGCTTTCTCAACAGCAGTATGATGACCAAGAGAAGGGCACCACAGACGGCCCTCTCAGAGACCACTGCAACGTGCTTGTCTCCGCTGAACTTTTGGGCCTGCCCTCTCCCGTATGGTCGCCTGGAGAACCAAGCCCTCTGGAGTGAGAGAAAGGGATATCGGCTCAAAAACAAAATCGGCGAGATCTCTTTTTGTACGTGAATAAATAAACAGCTTCTTTTGACTTTTGTGATCGGAGGCCACCGAGGATCTGGGGGAATCAGTAGACCACCGCGCTTCATCTAGCCCCAGAATGTAAAGAAGGCTTTTCTATCTTGTCTTCCACGCTTCCGAATTGCTACTTAATTTTTAATGTCATAGTAATAATTATTCTTTTTATGTAAGGTCTTGGTTGAAATGAAGCGGGATTCGAAACCACGACCTTCGGCTCAATACGTTTCTGCTCTAACAACCACTTGAGCTATCATGACTTCGATCCACAAACACACCAATTCCCCATCTCAACCTACAACCTTTTCAATTTTTCCTCTTTATGCCATTTTTCAAATGTCGTGTAATAAGGATTCGATTCTCTAGGACTTATGAAGTCGCCACGGGGAGCTGTTAGTAAGACCTTACATAAAAAGTATAATTAATTGAAAGAAGTAATTTGGTAAATTAGGCTACTAAACATAATGGATTTAATAAATAATAAGCTTTATTTTATTTGCTCTTGTATTCTGGCTTGACCTAGAATTTAAAATCTCTTGGACTCCCACTTTGCTCCCCTTCTCCTGGAAGGAATACCACAGCAGAGAGGTCTCCAAGGGTCCAGAGGACCAAAATCTCAATATATCTTAATATGCAATCATCGGATGCTGGGCATGTAGTGAGATTCATAAAGGTTAACTGAAGTCTATTGAGATGGGTTGCTTGAGAAAGACCGTACGAGAAATTGGACGTAATGAAAATTGGAAGATGTTAGGACGAGAAACAGGATAAGGGCCGTTAATAGGTGTTTCGGTGCGGTCAGGAAGGGCTTTCACAACTGCAGTGCGATGACCCAAAGAAGGGCACCTCTTAAGGGGCCACAGCAACGTGCTTGTCTCCGCCGATTCTTTGTGTATATTATAATGATAAGGACTAGCCTGCACAATCTTATATCTACGAGAAAGTAGGTTACTTGGTTAGGGCATGTCTCACGGATGGGCTCAAACAGAACGGTATAGTGGCTTGAGGGCTAGAAAGGCTAGGTCACATTATAGAAGAGAAGAAGTACCTTGGAGTAACCGAAGAGAGAACTTGAGGAGGATAGAGAAGGATGGAGATGTATAGCAAGGAAACCTCACACCCTTAAATGGTAGAAGTAGTCTATGATTATGACGACGATGATGATGATAATTAAGTAGTGTAAAGTAACCAGCCATTTTCGAAAATTGGTAAAAAACCTCTGAATAAGTGACCTCAACAACTTAGACATTACCATTAAATGTATGGTCGAGATATCTCTGCATACGTTATTAAATTTTATTTTTATTTCATTTTTATTGCAGACGACCTCAAGAAAGGTGTTACTATTTTTTCAGACCTTTTCACACTATGTTCAGATACGTTATAAGGCGGAACAAGACAACATTTGTCAAATCGATAATAATATCTTCTCTCGTTGTATTTGCACTGCTTTTCATATTCGCCTTTCCAGGCCAACTTGCTAGGAAAGTCGTTTTTTCAAAATAAATGTAATTTTAATAAATGTTTTTTATTTAACTAAGTAGTTCGGATTAATGAAAATCGTCTATGAAAGCAAAGCCCGGCTTGGGAAGAGGTCTTTTTCACAATTTTTCCATTGGAAGGGGTTTTGAGTGATCGCTTTCGTTCAACACGGTTTCAATGTAATCTTGACTACTATCATTGAAAAGATCGATATTCCGTAATAAAGAAAAGTTGAGTTATTCACGCCGCCAACACAATCTACGGTTACGGAAATGCAGTTATTTAGGAAAAACACAATTTCCTTCACATTATACGTCCTCTTTTATCTTAAAAAGCCGCACATTGCCATAAATCACATAATATGTTTATCCAGAGAGCAAATATTTTCAGAAATAGGCTTGGATAACAGACATCAATCAACATTATAGTATATTTTTCAATATATTCTTGTAATAATTAAACAGTGATTAACAGTGATTAAAGTACGGCTTATGTAAGTTGTCAGCATAATTTTATTCATATATGATGGGTTATAAAAACAAAATATTCTCAACGTGATAAAAAAACATCAAAGGAAAAATAATTTTGATGAATTTTCTTAGCCCTTCCATTTTGTAAGTTTTCTCAAGGGGACTTCAAAGGAAAAGTTCGTTATGAATTATGCTACTCAACAATTCAATAAGCCAAGCTTGTCATAAAAGAATGTTAACAGGTGAACCGAAACAAGAATTTAGGATAAAAATTAAATAATCCTATTCTCAAATAAATTAAGCTTCATAAAGTAAGATAACAAGTACATACAATAAATCAATTATAAAGCCCGAAGAGGATTTTAAAACAAAATCATAAACTCATTCCTTTAATTTTTAATAATTGATAAATAAAACATAAATATTCAGAAATCGTGAAATGCGGTCTGGTGTGATGTAGGTTTCAGAAAAACATTTTCTTTATCGTGTAAACGTTTCGATCTTTATTGCGATCATCTTCAGGGCTCAAAGTGTTCATTCAGATAATCTTAATAAAAATCGAAACGTTGGCACGATAAGGAAAATGTTTTTCTGAAACCTACATCACACCAGACAGCATCTCACGATTTCTGAATATTTATGATTTATTTTTTAATTTTTAATAATTGATAAATAAAACATAAATATTCAGAAATAATGAGATACGGTCTGGTGTGATGTAGGTTTCAGAAAAACATTTTCTTTATCGTGCCAACGTTTCGATCTTTATTGAGATCATCTTCAGGGCTCAAAGCGTTCACTCAGATGATTTCAATAAAGATCGAAAGGTTGGCAAGATAAAGAAATTTTTTTTCCGAAACGTACATACACCAGTCCGTATCTCACGATTTCTGAATAATTATCGACTAACGTCACTAATCACACACATAAATCGTAAAAATCAATGATTTATTGGTTATTTAAATATTTCCTCTTTTTAGTAATTTTGTTAGTTTTAAGTCAAACATTAAAGGTATCATTTCAAAAATACTTCACTTTAGAAACACTCACGTTAATGTGAGTTTGAGATTCCAATCATCCTGGTCTGTCAGTTTTTGATGATTTCGTCTAGTTAGGAGTGGATTATGCTCAGCTGTGATCTGGTTCGGCCCAGCTTAAGTTAACTAATAAAGTTAAATGGCTTTTACGAATCCAATCACGGCGTGTGAGCACGTGAAGTTTGAAGCGACGTTATATTTTAGACGTTTGTAGGCCTAACTCGTTTTAAGCAAGGCGTGTTGTCCCTGGCAATAGTGTTTTATGCTTTGATCCTTCGGGAAACGTTTTGCCGTGCATCAAACCAATTTGCTTCTTTTAAAGGAGATTGAATTCTCTTTCTGTATATTCTTGGTCACTGGAACGGCAAGTAACATGTCTACTGAGGGGTTTGGGTTCAGATTTACAAGGTGTGCGGACGTGAGATTTTATGAAATTTTGTTTTATTATATATACAAATATGAGACGCATGTCTGAGCGTTCTTTCAAGAAGAAAAAGTAATTTATATGATTTGTATAAAATATGGCTTTCTTCAAGGTAAACGTATACCACACACCACAAGAAAAGTGACACAACTAAAAAAAGGAAATTTTACAGGAGATGGAAGTTTACTTTTTTACTTATGTAATAAGTACACGCAATTACGCTTGTTGGCAATAAAACCTCTAATAATTCATCGATATTGTCTTTCGTTTGTACAAGATTTAAGCGAAAAAACAAAATCCAGCTGTACTACCACTAAAAACTACCCCTTTTTGAATTGTGACACTTTACTTGCATACATTCGCTCTCAGTAATTTAATTTGTTTGCTCTAACGATAATGACGGTCAATGAATAACCGTAAGGGTGTTAATTTCTTTGTGAAAGTAACAGACAATATACAAACTTAACAAACAAGCGTAAATATCTATCCATTACAGTTCGTGGTCCGATTGACCAATAAACTTTTTTCAATTAATTAATCTTTATGAAAGGTATTGGTCACGATAGCCAAGTGGTGGAGCAGCGGCGTATTTAGCCGAGGGTCGTGGGTTCGAATCCCGCTCGAGACACTGACTTTTTTATCTCAGCCAATACCTTTCATAAGGATTAATTAATTGAAAAAAGTTAATTGGTCAATCGGACCATGAACTGTAATGGATTTAATAATTAAACTGAAGTATATCTTCACTAAAGCTCTCCGTGGCCATTTCATTTGCTGCCGAGAATCAAATAGAATACACGACATTTGAAAAATGGCAAAAAGGAGGGAAAATTCAAAAGGTGTGGTTGAGATGGGAAGTTTGTGTCCGAGTGGATCGAAGTCACGATAGTTCAAGTGGTAGAGCAGCGGCGTATTTAGCCTAGGGTCGTGGGTTCGAATCCCGCTCGTGACACTGACTTTTTAATCTCAACCAATACCTTTCATAAAGATTAATTAATAGAATAAATATCTATGTAGTAAGTTTTACTAAGATTATTTTTGACCAAAACTACTCTGCTTTCCTCCTCGAGTCCGGGATAATTAGTTATTTACATACAAAATAAATGATTTAAATAAGGGTTTTATTGACGTAGTGTAATTAAAACATTAAAAAATCGTTGAAACTATAAAATAATGTAAAAGTTAAAAAGACAACATTGTTAAAAAATAAGAACAAATAATATGGTAATTAGGAATGCTATTGAAATAAATGAAATGAAACTAAAATAATTCACGAGCACTCTGGTTCATTGGTAGTGTCAATAATTCCACAGAAATTCAGCGGGGCCACCTAAAAAGGCACCCTGTGCATATATGTAATATTGAATCTTGCGATCCTGCATATTTTTTCTTATCCTACCAAAAAACAAAACGAATCTAATGATAGATAATCACCTTGAAATACACGGGCTCATACATTTAAAAAAATTTAATTATTTAATTTTAAGGTAGCTGGAGCCCATTGGCAACAACACTCGGTCACTTAAGTAATATTTTTCGCACCAGTATCACAAAAAAATGTTTCAATAAAGATCGACATCGTCCATTAGCTCTTTTTCGTGGCAGTTTCAATGGTCAACGACTGGAAAGGTAAAGGCTGTTGGTATATCAAAATATTGAATTTTGTTGATAAGTCCACAACCATATTTGTAAATTTTTCTCCCGATGCATTTTACCCTCAAAGTTAATGGCACGAGAGGGATTCGAACCCTCGACCTTCGGCTAGATACGCCGCTGCTCTACCACCTGAGCTATCATGACCTCGATCCACTCGGACATCAACTCCCCATCTCAACCCCACCTTATGAGTTTTCCCTCCATTTGCCATTTTTCAATTTTTTTTCATCTCAACTAAAAACCTTAATTAATTGTAAAGTATTAATTGGTCAAGCGGACCAAGAAAATAGTGAATTTATCCTCAAAGTTGGATTTAAGCCTAGATAATTGAAACGCCTTAATATTTCGGTCCTATTTTTTACTTCAAGTAATATATATATATANGATAACAAATAATTTAATATAAAATAATTTTTACTATTTAAGTAGTCTATTTATACATAAAGATTGTTAAAAATGGTATCCAATTGTTTTTTCTATAAAACATATCTTTGTATGTACGAATTTTTAATTGTGTCCAGTAAATGCCAAATTCCAATTTGCTAATGACTTGTAGAAAATATATTTCTTCTGAACAAAATATCACTATATATTATTAAAAATATGAAAAAGGAAAATTCAAGGAATTTATTTTTATGTTAAAGGTAACCTAAATGAGCACCTCGAGCAAAACACGAATAGATTAAAAAGAATCAAAAGAGGCGAATATCTGATTGTAGATGAAAAATGATATCAATTCTGTTCCAGATCATAGTATGATCCTTTTATTTTTGAATAGGTTTATCAAGCTTTTTCAACCCATTTTCCCTTAGATTATACACGTTTCATAGCAAGCCTTGGTGATAATTATTTTCAGTTTATGTTTGTTTGAAATTGTGAAAAAGTCCTAGATATATCTCTAAAAGATGAAACTAAAAAAAAGAGAATTTATATTTTTTGATCCTTTGAAGAAATAAATTTTTAGACCGATCCTCATGTACTCTTAAAAAATGAGTTTTTATATAGACTTTAATTCCTTTGAGAGCTGTCATTTTGTTTCTTTTTAATTTTTGATCCCGTTGATTGTCCAGTAGGAAAGCAGATGGATTGACTGAATTTAGACTAGAACTTCTAAGGTTTTTTCAATTTAATTTTTTTAATGTGAGCTAATGATATATCTAAAGGTTTTTTCTTTTATTCCTCAACTACATACATATATACAACCAGTCCTTGATACATAGAATGTTAAGAGTCGATTGTGAGGTTAGAAACATGCATTAAAGCTCGTTAACTATTGTTCTCAAAAAATTAGATTGCAAGGCTTGGATAGGATTAAATTTGGAACATTCTTCTTATAGGTGTTGTATGTTTAGAAGTTTTGTTACGGATTATGAGTAAATATTTTTGAGGAGAATGCTGTATTGTCAACGAAAGTCAAACTGTTTCTGGGTGGGTGGTTAGCCAGACTGTATAAATTATGCATAGAAGAGTTGACTTGTGAGATTTTTACTCGGACAGGATAAATGGAAGAAGAAATGGATTTTTGGTGACGTGGCAAACGCGATCAGACAGATATCATTGCTACAGGCTGGTGTTGCTGGAAAGAGGAGGCGCTATGACAATATAAGGTTTAGGAGACAGGTAAAGGGGAAGGTCAGCAGTGTAGACGGTAAGAGGTGCCAGTGTATTTCTTTGAGTAACACCAACGTTGATAGAATGAATGGAAAAATAAGAGGATCTTTGTGGCATGAAAATATCGATTGGAAAGACACACAGATTAAAATATGCACAGACTCCCTACACGCAATCCAGGAACCGAAAGAAGAACATCAGCAGACCCATTAATCAGGAAAATACCGGAACAACATAAAAGTGTCCGTGGTTATATTCAGGCATGGGTTTCCGTGCACTTTGGTATAACTGGGAATGAACAAGCATATAAGACAGAAAGGTTAGTCATAATAAGACCACTCCACCCACTTTGTCCATCGGATTTAAAAAGAACGATTGCTATTGCGGATCGAACGTAATACGACTAAACCATACAAATTTAATGAGACATCGGTCGCTGGCCTGCGTTTCAAGAAGAGGGTTTTCTAGGTTGTGCGTCGGTCTTGAGGACATTCAAGATCACCCAAGGTCTGACCACGCAGGTGGCCGTAGTGTGGAGAAATTATCTGTGTAGCGCGCAATAACATACTGCAAAGAAAGAATTAAACCATCCCTTATGACCTATCTTCGAACAAGGATGCAAGGGTCACGACAGCAGGCACAGTTCAACTGATCAAATATCTCAAGGCCATGAATATTTTTAATTGTGTAAATATTTTCGAACCTTTATGCATATGATATGTGTTATTTATTGGAAAGAATGTATTTATTTGCGTGAATATACTCAAGCGATTTCGGGTACTCTAGAGTAGTGTGAATGATTGTGGTTGTGCATGAAATTTATTAGCGTGAATGGCAGGGCTCAACCCCAAAAACTCCGAGGAATATCGTGTACTCTGGGTTAGCGTGAATAAATTGCGGTATATGAATATAATTTATTAGCTTCAATGGGAGAAAAATCTTCAATCACACGAAGAAGTGTAAACGCATTGAGGTGTTTCAATATTATTTATTAGATTCACTATTTTTCGTTTGAAATTGAATAAAAAATTGAAAAATGACAAAAAGGAGGGAAAATTCAAAAGGTGGGGTCGAGATGAGAAGTTAGTGCCCGAGTGGATCGAAGTCAAGATAGCTCAATTGGTCGAGTAGCGGCGTATCAAGCCGAAGGTCGTGGGTTCGAATCCCGCTCGTGACACTGACTTTTTTTATCTCAACTAAAAACCTTAATTGATTGAATTATTTATTAGCGCGTTTGCAGAGGATTATCTCCAATTAACCCAGGAATATCAAGTCTCTGGGGTTGGGGTAGTGTGGATCCTAACCAGACTATCATGTATTATCTTGTTTATCAACAATTAATGTTGTCCACGAGTAGGATCTCTGGATGAAATGGAAATATCGATGGGAGAGGTACGATTTAAGGATGGGATAATAGGTATCTACCCCAGGTAAGCGATTAGCCCTTTAACTTACTCATCTTCCTGCCCTGGCTGCCGGTCAAGATCGGGAATGGTATTCGTTCCAGTTGCTGTCATTTTGGAGCCTTATTAAAAGGAGTTTTTATATAATTTTTCCAAGAGTGGGGAGTATACTGCCTGGTCTGTAAGAACGAATATGGGAGATGAGTAGGATTGCGAGATAGGATTTTAAATCATCAAGAGAGGAAAATACCAAAGGTTGGCAAATATCTAAAGGTAAAAAGGCAAAATTATATGTTTTAATTAAATCCTTTCCAAATTTTGTTTACGTAACTCGTAATTAAAACCTAAAAAACACGGGGCGAATAAATTTCAATATTATATATCCACTGTGTATGTAGTAATAATGTTTTTTCATTTACAAAAAAGTGTATTTTTCCTCCTACTCGTATTCATACCTTTAAATGCACAAAATAGTACGATTGCCAGTGTCAATAAACGATTTTTTCGATAATCTTGTTTATACGCGCGCCATATGCTGTCGATATCAGACAACTGATTTGGCTCAAAAAGGGTTAAATAACCATCATCATAAGACTACGAAATACTTCAATTTTTACGTAAAAGCTTTGGGCGGGAATGCTATTTGTGGAATATCAACGTTTTGGTGAAATTGTGAAAAATGTATCACTTTATTAAAAGCGACTTTAGCAATTACAATTTTGGTGATTTTTTAAATTGTAATTTGCAAGTTCGTACTATAATATATCTACTTTAGTTGGTAAATTATAATCTAATTCAATTGTTAACATTGTACATTATTGTTAAAGGAGAACCGGCGATTTAATTCTCCGCGGTGCTTTATAATTCAGCCGCGAGGGCCTGGCTTTGGGAATAAAGCGCCAGTGATTTTGTTGAAAACATTCTTCACGAGCAATAATGATTATCCTATCTGATCCCTGTCATCTACAAAGTCTAATCCGCTTTCCGTCATACGCGACCTCAAATCTCTTGAAAAAAGCGAGGGAGACATTTCCGTCCGACAAACATGTAGCCGCTTTTTTAGTATTTGGTATTATCGGAAATTCCAAAGAAGGGGACAAAAATATATTAAAACTTGGGAAAATATATGATTTTATGAAAAACAACATGAAATTTAGAGAAAAAAGTGGCATATTTTCCGTGTTTCATTTTTCATATTTGTAACATACATACTACATTAAATAATAATCTTTATCTGTACTATTTCATTGATTATTTTTCTAATTGTATAAAAAAAGTTATGAAAAATTTAATTTTTTTAACAAAAACCCTTTGTTGTTTAATTAATTATAGCTAGCAAATGGTTTCGAATTCTAAAGCTACAATCTATGCAATGCGCTGTAATTTGAGTAAATCACATTGAGACAGTACGTGTTATTAAAAAGTGGAAAAGCTATGCAGTGTGATAGCATTCCTAAAACATTGTCTAATGATATCTTGGGTACTAGGATACAAGGAATTTCGGGTAACACTGCAATCTGCACGACTACATATAGGCCCTGCCGATTCGTGGTATGCAAGAACCAACACAGAATCCTCCATCACAGAATGGATTCAGAAAAAGGAGCTCTAGGGGTGCTAGACACTAAGCTCTAGGATAGGTTTGTGCCAAAACTCACCAAAAATGGCACTCTTACTTCTACAGTTAGAGAGGTTTCAAGAGGGGTGATAGGATTATTTACCGGTTACTGGCGTCTGAAAAAATATCTACACAACGTGGACATATTCAAGATAACCCCATTTGTAGATTATGCAATGAGGAGGAAGAAACAACCACCTATATCTTCTTCGTATGCAAAGCAACCACTAATAAAGACGAAACCTCGGATAAAAAGAAAACCAAGGAAAGGAATTGTAGCAACGACATCATCTAGTGCTTTTAGGAGAAGTATTGAGTCAATTGCACTGAACTAAGGAAGTAGGAAAGGAAAATAAATAAGAAGGCTGCTGTGCTTCGGGAATAAAAACTCCAATTTCCCGTATCCATCACCATCATTATCATGATGGATTAATAATAATCTCTCTCTCTCTCTCTCTCTCTCTGAGAGCAGATCACGGGGCCATTGTCTCTTCACATGCCGAGGAGGATTATTGGGAAGTGATCTGCAATTTTATGTATGTGAGGATTAGAGTGGAATTCGAGCATGGTGTGAAATTTTATCTGTATCTTGCAACACCTTTTTATGAAGGGAATATTTAACTCTTTAAGTCTTTATGGGGGTGGTGCGACTGGAAACAGAACATTGACTATAGACGTAAGGATTCGTGATTGTAAGGACTGGATTCTGCGGAGATTGAAACGTTTTGTTGAACCCCATTTTCCATGTCCACTTTGGTTTCAGTATTGATATGTTTTGTATATGAATAGAGAGTATTGATCAGTCTAGTAGAAATTCCAGGTCAGTCTTGTCTAGGTATGGCTCAAGGTAGAAGATGATGTTTTAGGTAGGAAGGGGGCGAAAAATAATTTGCTAGTTGAAGCAACGGAGGGTGTAGGCTATGTCTTGGGATTTAGTGGTGTTTGACTCGTCGAGGGTTCAATGACGAAGAACAGGGATCGGAGTTGGAGGTTAGAATGACAGTGTAATCAGCATAATGGTGTCATGATCGGAGGGATATCAGCAAGACGAGTAGACCAAGGTCGTTACCCTGAATAATACCCGCCTTGTAAAAAGTAGAGTGAGACGATCCGATCCATTTTCTAAAGTACCTGTCGACAAGGTAGGACGTAAAGATGAGGAAGGTGTTTTAGGGCTTTACATGATTTCAGAGCTAACTCAGGTACCACGCTCAATCGAAAGACTGTTTGACATCGAAGAACAACCCCGAGCAGCATTCCTTCTTCTTAATGTAGGATAGGATGATGACATGAAAGCTATTCTTCTTTTTGTGTAAAAACTTTTGAAAAAAGACCAGTTATAAATAAGTGTTAAAGTTTGCCTCTTTCGTAGAATATTAAATACAGATTAAATTGTTAACAAAATCTTTGTTTATCTTCTTTTTCATTGCTTCTTTTGCTACTTCTGTTAAGCAACAGACTTTTTTTTATCATCAATGAATTCTTTGATGATTAATTATAGCAGTAAGCAAATTTGAGCCGCAACAGTTACGGTGTGACTCATCACAGCAGGGGGTTCTGAGTTCGAATCCCATCGGCCTTTAATTAGACACGGCCAACATAATTATTTACGGACAATCAATCAGGGGTGGATATGACATCTAAGAAAAAAGCCATAATTTTATTGGAGAAAAATGGATCTGTCTTTACAAAAAATGAATACTTTTTATCGGTTTCAGTACCATTATGATATATATTAATTATAAACGCGAATTTTGAAATCAAAAAGTCATTGTTAAGAATTGGATCAAGGTATAGTTCCAAAAACCGAGGGTTCAAAATCCCATCCCTGATATTGACTTTTCTATCTCAAAGTTCGTTTTAAAAAATAATATTTTTGAAAAAAGACAAAATTTGGAGCAACATGACAAATTGTCAGAGTTGTATCCTTGGAATATTTAGAAGAAATGTAAATAAATATAATAATTGTTTGGTTTATATTTCTCCTGATTACGATTTATTTTGGATCGAATTGTTTGATGCGAAGTTTGACATGAAATTCTTATCAAAGGCCAAATAGGGCTGTACAATAACATTCAAAATTTCTACGCTCAGTAATATTCGTGTAAAATTTAGTCGTGGGGTTTCGAATTTTACTGATGATGTCGTGATGCCAGTTCTGGTTCTCATGATGTTAATCAAAAATGATCTTTAATGGACAAACAGCCGGCAACAAGGGGATAAGGCCAATCGATTATCAACTAATTTTATGAATCACCCTGAATTAGAAGGCTGATAAACAAGAGTGCCCCGCAAGTGGAAGGAATTAAATTTACTGATACTTAAAATAAACTGATTTTTTTAATATTTTAAAATTATTATTTTAAAGTATAAAAAAAAGTTTAAAAAACCGAACAAGTAATTTGAAATAGAAATGATATTTGCTAAAAATAAATAAATGTTTAAAAAATTTCTTTTGTTAAAATTTATCTGCCTGCTTTGTAAATATTGCTATAATAATACAATCTTGGTAATATTTGTATAAATTATTCCTAAAGGTTGTTGTGTTATTTTTGTTTATACATTGATAGGCTTATTAAAAACAATTAAAAAAAAATTGTTTGAAACAAAGGCAATGTCGTAGATAAAGAATAATGAAAAAGATTCTCTGAGTAGCGATACTGCGTATCGATTCCAACCCTCGGACGTTGGCAACCCTCCTCAGTACGACTTAGGCTTCGGGCGAGGAAACCATGCCGTCTTTCCAGCAGGATCGCAGGTTCGTATCTATTGTTTATTTAACAAAAAATAAAATATATAAAACAATAAAATAGACAAGAAAAAATCAACACCCTCGGCTTTTAACGCTAGTTTCCTCCGTAAATAAAATTAATCAGAGCTCGTGGAGATCTCAGAGATCGTGGGTTCGAATCCCGCTCGTGTCATTGACTTTTTTGTCTCAACTAAAAACCTTAATTGTAATATATCAATCGGTCAAGCGGACCACGAAATTAGTGAATTTAATGATTAATCAAAGCGTTTGAAAGGAATTGTGTGACGGTTGACATTTTTCAGCGCACCGGGTGATTTTTATTAGAAATTTTTTTTCGTAGAGGACAAGTCGAATTGCTTCATCAGGTGCTCCATTAAGGCGCAATATATCCTATTACAGATTATGTAAGTTACTTTTCAGAATGATATATTACGGCGCCCCATTAATCTGATATATTATTTTCATCGTGTCGTCCAAGCCTCCTGACATGACGGCCAATCTAATTTAAATAATAAGAAGAAAAAGGTATTTGATATATTTTCTGATGCACGATACGTTATGCGGCAGTAAATACTTAATAAAACGTAAAAAGGTAAAGGTTTATTACTTATAAAATTGTGATAACATTGACTTTTTCTTTGGAGTTATTTTAGCAGAAAATAATTTAACAACTTTCCATACTAGTTAAATTTTTGAAAAGTGATTTGCATAAACAACCACGTGTTGCTAATTCTCATCAAAATTCCGAATATAATAAAGACCGAACTAAGAGGGAAAAATCAAATACTTCATTCATGTCGAGGAATTATACATGTGTAATAAAATTTGTTGCCTTAGCCTTTTTCATACTCAATTCTCTAATAATTTGTTTAGAAAAAACACACAAAAAAGGATAAAATGTAAAATTGAAATTAGGGTTAAAAGAATTAATTACTCGAAGCAATTATTTTAGATTCTCTGAGCTTTCTGGCCACTGATTTAATTAATTCTTTATTTGATTTAAATGGACTTATTTCAAAGTGATCCATAAAAATTTCGGCTCAATGTGAAGATCTCGTTGGCAACACTTTCATTTTATTAAATTTATAATAATTAGATTTTAGGATACGTTTACACGGTCTACTGTTATATACGTTTTTATATCTGTAAATGTATAAAACATTTATGTACATTTTACGAAATAGTAAAAAGTCAGTCTTTTTCTTTAGATTTTAAACCAGCCACGTTATGTGAAAGTATGTTCAAAATTTTCACCGATGAACATACAGTAATTTTGCAATCTGGATGCAGACCGACGATGTACCAAAACGAGAAGGCAGCGAAACCTACAGTTGCGGCATTTAACTGTAAAAAGCACCAGTGAGGACTTTTCCTACAGACTTTGAAATATCTAATCCTGTTTAGTTTAATATTTAGTTTCTTGTCTACTTTTTCTCTTCTAAATCTTAAGCCTAGATCAGTGACCAATTGATTTTGGGTGCCGGTGTTTTGGAAAAAAGCCCATTTGTAAGTATGCCGGGTTCGAATGCAGGGTCGCTGGATTCGAACCCGGGACCTTTACCTTACAGTGATGAGTGCCGTGTCAACGCCTAAACCGTTGCGGATACCGACGCCCTCAATTGAATTTATGAGGCCCAACATGCAAACGACCATCTCTGACATAAACTTTCCTATCTGGTTTACATTCAAAATTTCCCTTCGTAATGATAATAATTTCGATTGTTTGTTTCTTATGTTTAATGGAAGGTCAATTTTGGTCATTCATATAATAAATCGAGTATGTTTTAAAATTTTTACATTTCTCGAGAATGCCAACTTACCTTCGAATAAAAGTTACCTTTAATGTTGTTCTAGTACCTCTTCTTCCAGGAGGGAATACAGACCAAAGTTAGCATTTAAATGAACATTCAAAATATCATAATAAAAATCAGTCACTATCTTAACAAAGTTTATTTTATGCCTTTGAAGACTAAATCCTTCTGCAGGAGTTTAATTAAACACAATCGAATGATTTGTCGACTCTTTCTTTGACGATGTTTAAGCCATTCATTTCCTTTTTGAGAATAATATAATCTTATTTTAATAATCTGTTCTTCTCTTTAAGACAATGAAATTCTACTGTTGAAACCAGCCAGTTTAACATCTAATAGCTTGTTCATCATTTGAAAAATAGCAAAGTAAAAAATATATACCTAAGGCAAGAAAGGAACAATATTAACCGACAAGCTCCAAACGAGGATAACACACGGACACTTACCTTTCGGCCAAAATCTGCTTGTCCAGCATGGAAAGAAATGTTCAATGTGTTAATTGAAGGGTTATATTTCTAGGCTCTATATAGGGAGCGAGTAGGAATGCCACTAGATATGAAAATTGTGCTCGAGTGCACTTTTATTAACCCTGTTAAATTTTTTTTGAGGAAATATGTATTTTGTATTCACAGACGCTTTTATAGCAATTAATTTTTTAATGTGTTTTAATGTGATAGATGTACATGCATATGTATGCTCACAAAATTGAGCTCAAATACAAAAGTTCAATATTTATCTCAAATATTGGAACCATGTAGATTTTTATGTGGATCAATACGGAAGATAAGATAATTTTTGATAAAAAATGTAATTTTCGACAAGTTCAATGAATAAATTTATATAAAATACCATCAGATCTCTTTTTTTTCATATAAAACGTGGGAAGCAAACAAAACTTTAGAATTTATTGATCAATGATATTATTAATGACCAAAAAAAATTAGAAATTTGTTTCCCAGCAAAGTAAATTACTTTTTTTTTATTTAACCTTGATTTTATGTTTTAATTCTACCATATTGTTGAACAATTAACAAACCACTGGTTTTGTGTGGCCTCACAAAAAAATTAATAGGGGTTGGGTTGGGAAACTTGGTCTTGTGTGCTTTGTGTTTGTATGTATACATAATAAGTTGTATGCACATGGCTCAAAGCACAAGTAGGTGTGCTTTATGCAGAGAACGTTTCGTCGATGTGTCCCACATAATAGAAGCTTGTCATGCCTTGGCTCTTTAAAGAGATCGTGTAAGCATGCTGCCGAATTTAAGAATGGGTTTCAGGCAAGGTAGCGAGTTGCTGGGTCCTCTGTGCCACTTTTTGGAAGACGTGGGATTTTTTCTATTGAGATTTGTTTTGTGAATGAATTTATTAGTGTGAGTGATGAGGGCCTGATGGTGAAGCGTTACCTTCAATGTGTTTAGGATTGGCGCGGAATATTTTTATAAAATAACCCCATCGGCCCTCATTTAAAAACGTGTAATTGTGTGTAGATAAATGGAGGAATATCGAGTACTCCACCGACTAATCAGTATGAGTGAAATGTACACAGGTATGAATGTTTTTATTTGTTCAAATGTATTATTAGTTTTCATTAGTTATTTATATTTAGGTTATATTATAGTTTGCATGAATTGTGGGCTAAAGTGGCATAGCTGTCGACAGTCCCCGTTGGAACCTAAGTCATTTAGTTGGGAAGCGACGATCTCCTGGCTTAATGGAGATACTAGCCACCGAGCAGCATAACGGAGTAGGTGAACTTCCCTCAGGTACAGACATCAGGGAGCGATAACCCTTTGGGGTGAAAGTCCAATAAAACGTTTATTGGGCAAAAAATATAGCATCATACTAATCCACCGATAACAACTTTGCATTTATTAACAATTCTTGTATATTGAATTTTTGTGCCCAGGGGATTACTTACCTTAAACGGAATAACGTTGCTATATGCCTATATTCATTTATATTTTATAGTATGCAAACGAATGAACTTATAAACAAAACGACTTTTTTTACAAACAATGTAATGTTCATTGATTTATAAAAACCGTTCTTATACAGAATTAATTGCAAAACACTTGATTTGAGATAACCATAGAGCCTGTCTTTAATTATAAAACAAGGCATTTATGTATATTATGTATTATCAATGACATTAAGACTAATAAGAAAAACATAATTACAAACCTATCTGCTGGAGGTAGTGGCTGAGTGCAGAGTTGGGAAAAATCTAACTAATTCAATCATGATTAAGAATGTTGATTGAAGTTTAATTATGATTGAATTAGTTAGATTTTGCTCAACTCTGTCTTCTGTGCGTCTTAAGAAACGGCGATGATAAGCAGATCCAGAGTTGGGAAAAATCGAACTAATTCAATCATGATTAAGAATTAGTTAATTTTGCCAACTCTGGCTACAATGACCAACTTACCAAAATCCAACAGACTCCGGATAAAAATTTTGAGATGAGAGTCGTTCTCAAGGCCAACCTTCAAAAAGTGTTATCATAAAAGAAAACCAAAGTTACATAATTATTCTACATGTCTATTTTATTACAATCAAAACCGCTTGATGGTGTATTTTCCACATAATACCAACATAGAATGGTTCTTTAAGTATTTTTTTTAAATCGTCCACTCGTACCAGGCATTTTGGAAGTTTTTCCCTAATAATTTACGTTCATTTTTAAAAATTATGTGCGAACTGATCTACCTCAACTACTCCCCTTTAGAGATGACTCTGTTGATCGCTGCCCATTGTGAAACCTTTTCGCGAGGTAAGATGTTTCATTTTTTGGCAATATTTCACAGTTCGGAGCTCATTGGGCCGATTAAATTTTAATTTTATAATGAAATTGTTACTACATTTTTTCCAATATACTTAAATCTATTTTAGAGAATCCACCCAGCCAGTGTTGGGCAAAAATTAGAATTAAATACGAGGCATGACTAATTTAGTCACAATATAGTTAGTCATGACTATATTTCGACAAATCTTTTACAAATGTGTGCTCAAAAAATGAAAAATACACAACTTCATCACTTTTAAAAAATTTTCTAACAGAAATTTATTTCACCAAAAGGAAAATACTTCAAGACCTTATTTAACAAAAATCAATCATCCAATTATAAGTGAAACCATGTCGTTATGAAAAGCCAAAAAAATAATGATAATAATAACAGTAATAATAAAATAAAAAAA